GTGCACCATGAGCTGGACTTGATGTGATGGCAGCTAATAACACCATGAGACACTTGAAGAAGGGTTTTAAAAATTTGTTTCTATAAAACACAAGTGCTTGCTAAAAAATATATAGCTGCTTAACTGCAACACCTGTGGTGTTCATGCCATGTTACCAGGAGCTTTCTTTGCAAGTCTGAGCAAAAACAAATAAAAATAGTCAAAACTGTACATATTTTTCTCTCTGCTGCAGAAATAAATAGCAGTTTTTCACTTTACGAAATAACTGCCAGCTCTGATATGACTTTTAGCTCCACTGACGCTGAACTGATTTTCCCTCACATTGGAAACTGGCCAATAGAACAGAGTCTCTAGTAGAGTTCAATCAGGCCACGTGAAGCCTCGTTCCTTCCACAATAAACAACCCATACAGTGGAGGCCCATGAGAGGAAGGAATGAGGTAAGAAAGGCTGATGGAGGAGGTGACTCTTAAATGAATTCTTGAAAGAAAATAGATATTTGCCAGGCAGATGAAGCAGAGCTTAGTGGCTATAGGTTCCCCCACCAAAGACCACACACAGCTCCTGCTGAACAACCCCTTCCATGCTTCAAGCATACCAGGCTTTCATAGCTGCAATTGCCCTTGTCCCTACAGGTGGTAAAGGCTCTTTCCTGTTGCTAACCCTTAGGCTTTTCTCCTTCCCTTGCTAGTTTCCTTTAAACCTACTCAGACTTTGCAAATAATTCTTTCAATAAACTCTCTCCAGTTATCCCTGTTTCTTGCCATCTGTGTCCTGCTAGGATTCTCACCTTTAAGTCATTTTGCAAAAACCAGAGAAAGAGTTTCAAAGTGAGAGTAATTAACAGTGGTAGAGGTTACTTGATGAAGACTGAAAACAGTCCCTTGTATGTGGCAACTGGAGCTTGTTGGTGATGTCTACTAGCACAGGTTAAAGGAATGGCAGGACCAAGGCCTCATCGCAGTGTACTGAAGATCAAATGGGGAGTCATTGACCATTCCTTTGAGAAGCCTAGATATGAAAGAGAAAAGAAAGTACGTAGAATTTTGAGGTAGCTGCAGTGTGAAGTTTTCTTTAGTCTTAATGTTGCAGAGATGAACATGCTTATATGCCGCAGACCAGCACAGCCACTGGGCTCCGCACTTAATTTCGAAGTTGACTTCGGGTGAATAGGGAGTCGGCGATTTGGCTAACAGATTACAAACAACTCAAAGGCTGAGTGTATCTGAGAGCGTTTATTGCCTTTAGCTACATGTTTTTATAGTATAACCAGTTCTTCTTTTGATCTTAATTTCACAAGCACAGGTTTACGCAAAAGCACAGAAAGTAAAGTACCTG